TTAATCCAATTTATCTACTTGCTTACATATTCAATGTAACTGGACCTCATTAATATTAACTGAGAAATGAACTTAGATATTTTATTCACAACGTAAGGGTACAAATGTATTTATTACTCCTAAACCCAATCCTTTTACTTTAAGATACCCAAGAGAACATTAATGCTTTGAATAAGTGAAATAACGCAAATGAGATGACTTGGTGCAATATTCTAGAGTTTAACTCGAATACGCTCCAAAACTAACATTTACATTATTTTATTTTTTTCAAGCATCATGTTAAATGTCAATAAGATGTTTTGGTGAGATTAGATAGAGAGTATGCCAAAGTACTTTATCAGACTTGAATAGCATCAAGATAGCCTAAGGAACTCCAGTATGAAATCGAATTTTGGAAAATGATTGTTTATTATTTAAAAATTAGCTGGAGATCAATAGGGCTGACTTGAGTGGTAAGTTTCAAGTTAACATGATTATTGCCTTATTACCAAACTCATTCGATTCTGTTAGAGTAAACTAAATAAGGAATCAGTTTGAGTTCACACTCGCTGATATTCTTATAGAATTGGTAACAGATGAAGGGATAATCATATCAATCTAACCTAGTCTATACCATCTTCTTCTAGGCCCAAGTGGACGGGCAAAGCAAAGAAGAAGGATGATAAGAGGACTAGGCTAGTACAAAACATAGGTATCTAAAAGGTTAAAGGGAATAAGGCAGTGTATGTTGAGGGCGAATGAAACTGTTTCTTTTGCCGCTAACTAAAACACTATAGGACGAACTGTCTAAGCAATGACGTGGCATAGGAAAATATATATTTAATTATTGAGCCATGTTATGTGGTTGCATCTATTAATTCTTGATGGATAGATTCTGGAGCCACTAAACATGTTTGCAATTCATCATAAGGATTTCAGGAATCCAGAAGCCTTGATGATATGGATATATATTTATCTTTTGACCTGATGCCAAGGTTGTAGTTAGGTCAGTGGGAGTATTACATCTGAAATTAGAGAGTATGAGGATATTAGTATTAAAGAACTATCTTTATGCACAGAAGTGAAACGCAATCTCATTCTTATTTCACTTTTGGTTTATAAAAACTGTGTTGTTATTTTGTAAAACTAGTTTTATAAAATTGAATAGATATGCGATTGCTTTTGGTGCATTGAAAGATGGTTAATATACTATAATCACAAACTCTTAAGATTTGCAGGATGTAAAAACTAATGTTGCATCTTCTAAATTGAATGTTAAGAGAAAAATTGTTATTCCTGACTCATTGTATTTTTAATGTCTATTTTTAGGTTGTTATCAATCAAAATAAGATTCAAAGATTGGTCAAAGAAGGTTAATTACCTAGTGAGGCAGGGGAGCCTAAACCAAACTTGTGAACCCTATTTTGAAGGATAGATAACTCTTAGGACTTAATCAGCCAGATGAAATAGACATAAAGGACAATTGGAGTCGGTACACACTGACACGTGTGGTCTTATAAACATCCAAGCAAGATTACTCACGTTTTGGATAAGTTTATCTGATGCAACACAAGTCTTAAACTCTTGGTATTTTCTGAGAAGTTTAAGACTGAAGTGGAACACATATTAGGTAAACTTATCAAGACACTTCGATCTGATCGAGGATATGAGTATTTCTTGGGATAGTGCAAAGACTATATGGTCAATGAGGGTATTATGTACCAGTTTTCCGCAATTGACGCTAAATGTATTTAGGTGTCAAATAGGAATAACAGAATTCCACTTAACATGGTTAGATCTATGATCAGTTATGCTACATTATCTCTTTCATTTAAGAGTTTAGCGTTAATGACATCGATGCGCATTATGAACTGCATTCCATCTTAGTCTGTCTCAAGGATACCGTTGAGCTGTGTTTTTTACTAAATATTAGTTTGAATTATATGCACATATGGGGTAGTCTTGCACATGTGCGCTTGATATGGACAAGTAAGTTGGAAGCAAATCATAGGCATGCTAGATTTGATAGCTACTCTAAATGTCACTAGGATGGATTATTTCATGATCTCAAAGATAAAAGTTGATTGTTTTCACTCACTGTTTATCTATAGGAGAATCATATTATGAATCACATACCTAGTAGCATAATGTTAGAGAATTTGGTATGAGTACCAGATGTACCACATGTGAACACACTTATTATAGAGATTGAGAATAATATATGAATTCCCTATTGATGCGTTAACATCATCTACTACACAGATTCTTGCATCGGTACATTGATGTAGTGGGAGGATTATCATCCAATTCGACAGAATCATGTTTTTAGGTGAGACCATTATGGACATCCCTGTTAAACATGAGTTGGACCCAGTAAGCTACACGGAAGCGTGAACCGATGTGGATACAGATCGTTTTGGTGAGTTACTATGAAATCAGAGTTGGAGTCTATGTATTCTAATAAATTCTGGGATTTTGTAGAACTTTCTAGTAGGGTGATTCCTATGGAAGGCAAGTTAATCTACAAAAAGATACCAGAAGATTTCTTAGTGAATAAATCATGAGTGTACAATGGAATGTCATTATTTTTCTAATTTTATATATATTGATGACATCCTACTCATTTAGAATGATGTGGAAGTTTTGTCATCAATAAAGAGGTAGTTGTTCAATTACTTTTAAATGAAGGATTTTCAGGATGTAAACTAGATTCCTATGATCAAGCTTTTGCAAGATCAGGTTAAAAGGAAAATAGGCTTATCTTAATAATCCTACATTGATAAAGTTTTGACCAGATTTAGTATGCATAACTCAAAGAATGAGTTCTTGCTTTATTGATATGGATGGCTCTCTCTAGTAAGTAGTTTTTCAAGACTATCAAAGGAGATTGAGCAAATGAGACTGGAATAATATGTTTCGGCATATGAGAGTCTCATATATGCCATGGTCTATCCTAAACAGGACATCCGCTACATAGTAGGGATAGTCAGTAGAGATCAGTCCAATACTGGACTTGACAACTGGTCTATTGTGAAAAATATCATTAAGTACCTAAGGAGAACCAATGATATCATATTCATTTATGGATGTGATGATATGGTCCTAGTCAGATATGCTAGTTCTGATTTTCAATCAGAAGTAGATACTATGAGGTTCATGACTTAGTGTATGTTCACTTAATGGAAGGGAGATCAGTTGGTAGATTGTTAAGCAGATTTCAACTGCTGACTCAAACCTGTAGGTGGAATATATTGCAGCCTTAAAGGCGGCAAAGGAAGCCTTTTAGTTTGATCTCACTGATTTAGAGGTTGTGGAGTATACTAGCCTGCCTATTGAGCTATGTTGTGACAATAGTGCAGAAGTAGTCCAAACCAATGACCCAAGGTTCCATAGAGGAACAAGATACACTGAGAGGAAGTATCATGTTCTACATGATATTGTCCGGCAAGAAAATGCACTTGTAGTTAGAACATTGCATTGGAACACAACTTTGTTGATCCATTATCAAAGGCGTCATTGATCAATAATTTTGATCATCATCTGGATAACATTGGAGTTAGGTGCAATTTGAATTGGCTATGAGGGCAAGTGGGAGCTGTTGGGATTTATATGCCCTGGCATAGCAAATTCCTATCTGGATTATAGTGACATATGTTCCTGACATATCTGAAATATTTATGATTTATATAATTGGTGAATTCAATGTATTATGTTTCGATTCACTATGAAATTGATAGTGTCCATGTAATTACAAGAAATATTTATATATATGTATGTGATAACAATCAATGCATGATATATAAATAGTAATTATAAATTGTTCATAGTCGGTAATTATGGATGGACTCATAATTAATTAAGACTTGAACTTGATCCGCGTTAGGTTGAGATATATTGCGAGAGCCGTCGTATGCAATTACTCCCTATCACCATCATGGCATTTGACTCTTAAGCATGAGAAAAGTATAAACTCTTTTATTAATTAATAATTACTTTGATTTGTTCGGCGGATTCTTCGGGATCCTTAGACCGACACTTTGGGTAATTATGTAATTAATAGTTAGAGGGTTATATTTTCAATATTTGCATCATTGCTACTTGTATTTATTTTGTATTGATTATGATTGATCACAAAGTAAATTCGAAGGCCTTCGTGTGTTTTTAGACAAAATGATTTATTATATATTTATTTATTTAAATTATTATTTTTGTCAAACAAATGTTTTATTGTGATCGAGTCAGAAATAATCAGAGGTACCAAAATAGATATATTAATTAAGTAGTCGGATTGATGGCTTTATTTATCCGATAACTAATTATGCATAGAGGGGTCAAAGTGCAATATTGACTTAGAGGTTATTTATTATTTAATTGGAGTTCAATTAATTTCTTTTAGTGAAGTAGAAATTAATTTATGAATTAATTGAATTGGGTCTATGGACCGGGCCAATTATTAATTCATTATAGCCAATAAAATAATAGGCCCAATGGATTCTCACTCATAGCCCAACTTGATATTGGAATCATATTAGATTTGAGACATGTGAATTAGAGATTGAGAAGGATTAGTTGTTTCCTTTTCTTTACCTTTATGTTGCCTATAAATATACATGGTCTATGTATATTTTAGAGGTGATTTTTAGTAGAAGGAAAAAGGAATATATTTTCTCTCTCTAGAAAATTAGGGTTTATGTTCTCATCTAATGGAGGCTCCCACAAGCCTAGTTTTTCCAAGGTAATTTATGGAGGCTTATGAGTGATTCCTAAAGGCAAAATAATTATCAAGAAGATGGAGATCCAAGGAGAAGGCATCTTGCTAAGGGATCTACAATAAGTGAGAACATTCACTTTAGAGGAAAGTTTTAAGGGTTTACTCAGACCTTTGATATAAGTATTTAATCCATTAATTGAATGATACATCATATTTTTATTTTTGCATAAAACTTGTCTCTATGTGATGAATCAAGATTTATGAATCAAAATCCCTCGAAAAGTTTTTAAAACTTGCACGTTTCCCAACATAAATATCTAGGACACCTAGAAAGTTCTGTAAGTTTGACCTCACAAGTAGAAGAATGCGAGTTCAAATGGAGTCACCTTCTACAAAGTAACCGGTATTGTATAATTGCATTAAATTTATCAAGAACAATTTGCTCATAATCAACTGCTTACTCACAAAAAAAAAAAAAAAAAAAGAATATATTTTATAAATAATCAATATCATCTCAACTGTGCCAGAAAAAAGAAGTATTATTATTGATAATTAATCCACTGTAATCCCAATTGTGGCAGAAAAAGAAAGTATTATTAACCAAACAGTTCCAATGTTTTGTTATAATGATTTATTCAGAATTACATTTTATATTTTTGAACGACACACACCATTGCAATAACTAACTACTTGCATGTAGCAACCAAGACCTTTCTAGGAGCAAGAGAAGGCCTCCTTCCATGAAGCACAGCCAAGTTATCCAAGAAGAGCACGTCACCTTTCTCCCACTTAAACTGGATGCTCTCTTCTTCAATGATCTCTTCACATCTCTTCACTACCTTCTCTGGTATCTCACTTCCATCTGCCATCATTGCCGAGCTGATCTCCTTTCCGTGCATCCCCACCACAGTGTTGAACCACATCCTTCTCCCTTTCCTTCCTTCAAACACCTTTGTTAGAGACCTCGGCCCCAGGATCGCCTTAACCCCGCCGTTTGGTAGCCACTCCAACACCATCCCTAAAGCTTTTGCCCTGCAACAAAACACTAACTTTGTCAACTTCAAAGAAGTTGATTCAATTGAGTACCTCATTGGTAACGTCAACCAAACAATGTTAACCTAACCGATAAGTTAGGCTTAAAACACTAGCTAAATGACTTTTATTCTATAAATTTGTTTTTAAGTAGACAAGTCCCACTCGAAACATATCTAAAGTTAGATAGGCCTTCTGCTCAGGTTAATTAAGTACCTCATTGGTAACATTAACCAAACAAGCTCTTCTATCCGATAAGTTAGACCTAAAACACTAGCCGAATGAATTTTATTCAAGTCCCACTTCAAACATATCTGAAGTTAGATATGCCTTCTGCTTGGATTAATATTTTAGGTCTAATTCATGGACTTAAATATCATTTTCCTTGTATATATATATATATACACACCTTCTCTCAGCTTCGGCACAGTCTGAAGTTCCGAAAGTGTCCTCCCAGCCTCTACCTCTCATGGAAGCGGTATCATTCTTGCTTAGAGCAGTGAATGTGTATTTCAACCCTTTCTCTTCAATTTCCTCCACCACTTCTGGGAACTCTTCCAGCATCTGTTCCGTTACTCGGAAGCTTGGCACGAAAGGCGTCTGTCCACCTTCTGGCGGTGGTACCTCACAGAAAAGTATCACCTTTTTGGGATATTCCTTAATCTGGTGAGCCAGCAGGCATAACAGTTAAAATGTTAAGACATGTTTAAAATTGATGAATAAGTCAACTCTTGATTACAATTTCAGTGTGTTGTTATGTTTTGATCTGTATTCATATCAATCACTTTCTTATCATGTTTGTGCTTTAGTCAAATTGAGTTGTTAATATATATATATATATATGCTGATGTCAAGAAGATTATTTGACAATTTTGATCAAGTGTGCGCTTGAGTTGTAAAATATGATTAATACTGGAGTGTCATATCAATAGTGACCATTCAACACCTACAACAATATCATTTGTGTTCATACAATGACTTCAAATTATATGTGTGTGTGTATGTGTGTGGGGTACTTACTAGGACCATTTCATGGTGATAGTATATGAATTCAGAGAGAGGTCCTTCATTGGCTGTCCATACACGTTTGTATACATGTGTCCTCGGTGCCGGCCCAACGTAGCGGATGTCATCCCAGTCGAAGGCCTCCACAATGTCGTTGAAGTCCTCTGCCTTGGTGACGTCGAAGCCCCGGAGGAGGACAGCACTGTTCTTGATCACCATTTGGTCAAACCACTCCTTGTTGTTCCTCAGAGCCAAGAGGAGAGACTCCAGGTCCTTCTTGCTAGGCTCTGGGGGTTGTAGCACTAGTGGCATGGTCTCACCGTGCACCACCTTCTCACCCTCACACTTCCCCACCTTGAAATCCTTGCAAGAGAATTCCATATCTCTGTGTGTGTTTGTGTGTGTGATTGGTGTGTTGTGTGTTGAATGCTTTTCTTGGCATTGGTAAGGTTTGTATATATATAGGAATAGGAGGTTGATGAATCGGTATTTACTATGGTATCATGAGTTGGCCTAACAATAGGCAAATAATAGATTCTTTACCATGTCGTTTTGTTCAAGGCTTTGAATATGTTTTTTGGCTCATTGTCTGTCTTAACTGGCTTGGAGTGATTGGATATTTTTAGGTTTTCACATAAATTGTCTTAAAATTCAATGGACACATTTATTTAATTTGGGTTATGATGATACATGTTTCAAAAATGAGTAATTGGGCAGGCCAAAATATTATTAACTTTTATTTATTTATTTATTTATTTTTGAAGTTAGTGCATACTAATGGACATAGGATAACTTTTTCATTTGGAAATGTCTTTACCGGCCGCACATTGTGTAAAAAGGAGTGCTAATCACAGTCGCCCTTGCGAGTGTAGAATTTCAGTAGCTAGTTTAATAATTAACGCATGTATCTTTTTTTTTAATAATTAATTACTATTTTTATGCTAACTTACTTTTAGGTCTCTCATTATATATAATTACTATACTAACCTCCTAACTAAGAAACCAGTGAAAAAAGTATTATAATTTGATTCTCTTTCTAAAATTATGTTTTTTCAGATCCCTATCTCTGTTTCGAAGTATTCGGTTGTTTTTTAAATAAAAAAATAAAATCAGATGAAAAAAAGGTATAATCTGAAAAAAAAAAAAAAAAAAAAAAAAAATTATAGTACTTTTTTCTTTTTTATTTTATGATAATTTTTTTTTTAATCTGAAAAATTAGAGCAATACTTCGAATACAAAGAATACTGATCTGAAAAAAATTCAAATTTGAACTTCAAACATTTAGATATGAACTTTTGTATAAAGAAAATTTTAGTGTTGGAATTTCAAATATTTAGATATGGAATTTTGTAAAAAATAAAATTTTATAGTGAGATGGAACCGTGGAGGTTTCAGATTAAAAAAATAAAAAAAAAATCAGTGAAAAAAGTACTATCAGATCCCTATTCTCTGTTTCGAAGTATTAGGTTGATTTTCAAATAAAAATAAAATCAAATCAAATAAAAAAAAAGTATAATCTGAAAAAAAAATTATAGTACTTTTTTCTTTTTATTTTACGATAAAGGTTTTTTTTTTTTTTTTTTTTTTTTTTTTTTTTTAATATGAAAAATCAGAACAATACAAAGAATACGGATTTGAAAAAATTCAGATTTGAAATTCAAACATTTAGATATGCACTTTTGTAAAAAAAGAAAATTTTAGTGTTGAAACTTCAAATATTTAGATATAAAATTTTGTAAAAAATAAAATTTTAAAGTGAAATGGAATCGTGGAAGTTTCTGAAGCTTCTCAATTAGGAGGCTAGTATAGTAATTATATATAATGAGAGACTCAAAAAGAAGTTAGCATAAAAATAATAATTAATTATAAAAAATAAAATACAAGCGTCAATTACTAAACTTAACACCCCTCATATATATATATATATATATATATATATAAAAGCAGACAGTGCATCTTCCTTTTACACTAACTTATATGCTATTTCGTGTATGACTCGAGTCCAAGCTGTAGGTAGACAATCTCTTATCTTCAAATTTGAGGTTGAGAGTTTGAGTGTGTTTGTTTTAATCTAAAAATAATAATAAAAAATAAAAAAACTTTAATTCCTACGCGGTTGGTAGAAAATCAAAGGGTGGAGGTTTTATAATGGTCTTAGACCTTACAAATTATTATTTTACATTTTTATTGTTCTTATTTATTTATTTATTTTGCAACATAACCTTGCATTGATATAGCATATATATGCTGCATATTCATTATGGCTCATTTTTTCACTATAGAAAAACAATGCAGAAACAATGAAACAATGAGAAACAAGGAAGTTGACTTGGGAAAACCAAGGAAGCCAACAAGAAAAAACAATGCATGTCCTCTGCATAAGAATTAACATTATAAATCATCTACAATTATGTTAACATCTGAGATCCGTCTCCATCCGTCTCAATTTCAAGGACAGTGATATCTTAAATATATTTAAATTTTAAATTCTTTTTTCAAATTTATCCGCCAATAAAAACGAAGCGACGGCCGAGCAGGGTAAAATTGACATCCTACTCAATAAATTCTTTTATTATGGCTAATTGGGGCTTTGAAACTTTTGAGCTGGCTATGGAAACTTCAAGATAACAAGATGAAGGCACATTGATCATCAATCAATAACTCAGTATTTGCCCGTTATGACACTAAAATAAAAAAATAAATTTGACAATAACAGTTTAACAATTAGGAAGACTTGAGGCAAATGACATTAATGTAGCTTTGGAAATATTAGACTATGGAGTTAGTGTTCAGCCTAACGAGATATATATATATATATATATATATATATATAAGAAAAAAAAAAATTTATTAAGCACCCATGCCACAGTTGGATCTTATTAATATTAAGAAAAGGATGTGATATATAAAAATTCGCAAGGGATCGCTACACTTCAATTTTTTAAAATGAAAAGCATTTGTGTTGTTTTTTTTAGTTGTTTTCAAAAAAATAAAATGCAATCTCATATTTCTTATTCAACAGATTTGAGATCACTGTGTATTGCATCTCTAATTCTTATATTTATTAATTTTTTATTTTAGAATTACCTGAATAACTTATAACGGTCCTGACATGTCGATACCTAAACCACACCACCCACAGACTGAGGCACTCATCACAAAGTCACGGCTAAGATGGTTCACCATATCGTCCGATACATTACCCTTTTTCAAGTCCGATTCGCGATCCGTATCGATCAGTTTATACTGACTTTATCCGAGTCCTTTTACATCGCGACCGATATCACAACCATGACCGATATTGCAAATCACGAGACGCACTCAATATGCAACACACGTGTAACAACTTTTAAAAAATTATCATTTTTGATAAAAATGAATATTTTATTAGTTAATTTCTTGTTACATGTAATATATCTCCACGGTTACATTGAATCTCTTTTTTAAATGTAAATGTACGAACTATATAAATTTTGTATTTTGTGTGTAATTGATTTATTTTTACTTATCCACCCCCAACGCATTGTGATATCAGAACTTCAAAAAAGTATGGTGAATCCACTGAATCTAAATATAAAAATAAAAAATTAAGTGTGGTCGAGTTTTTAATTATTAAAATATGGTGTTCTATAAATGTACTTAAAATCACTGGATAATAGTTTTTTTAGAAACCTATTGGAATAATCATTCCACATTTAGTAAAATAGCATGACACTCCAAAGAACAGATAGTTTTCCCAATAAAGTATTAATAAAAATATTGCTGTATTGGTTACGGAATCGAAAGAATACTAAAAAAACTGAAGTATTCATGTGCTGAATTTCATTATTTCAATTATTTATTACTTGTAAGTATTGCTTTACTAATTACTATGCTTTTGGTTTTTTGTGATTCATTGCTTTAATCAACCTTTCGGAGCAGATCTAGAGCTGTGTCGGTGGTCACTCACTCTTGCAACTTTACTGATGAGCTGAGAAAGTCCTGAGTGATCGACAGAGTACTACTGCCCACAAAAAAGGCACAAAACCATGGCCACACTCTCTCCTTCACTCTCTCTCCTCTTGTTTGCCAGACTCTCTGCTCTCATTGTTGCTGTTCTTGTCCTCATTTGGGCCCTTGTCTTCAAGACTAGCTTCATTCCTCGCTCTCCCTCCCAAGAAGACCTCATCTATGCTGTAACTCTCTCTCTCTACATATATATATATATATAACACATACACATATATATACATGCATTTGTATTTGAACTAATAATGTTGGGGTTTCTGTATTTTTAACAGGTGCTTCATCCTATATGTATGGTGATTGGTTTCATTCTCATCAGTGGAGAAGGTAATTGTGAAATTGGAACAAACCCATGTTCTCTTTGAAACAATAAATTGATTTTAGAAAATGGGTTGTGATTGATTTTCATGATTTTTGTTCCAAACCCTTGTTCTTATTGAAACGATAAAGTGATTTTTAAAAATGGGTTGCGATTGATTTTTATGATTTTTTTGCCAGACCCTTGTTCTTATTGAAATCTGAAAGTGGATTGATTTTTATGATTTTTGTGCCAGACCCATGTTCTTATTGAAACAATAAAGTGATAAAAATGGGTTGTGAGCCAAACCCATGTTCTTATTGAAACAAGAAATTGATTTTGAAAAATGGGTTGTGATTGTTTTTTTATGACTTTTGTGATTTCAGCGATTTTGGTCCATAGATGGTTGCCCGGCTCGAGAAATTTGAAGAAATCGGTGCACCTTTGTCTTCAAGGGGTGGCTTTGGCTTCTGGGATTTTTGGGATCTGGACAAAGTTCCATAGCCAAGATGGGGTTGTGGCTAATTTCTACAGTCTGCATTCATGGATGGGTTTGATTTGTGTCTCCTTGTTTGGCTTTCAGGTTAACTTCTTCTTAATTCCCAAATTAAATTAGTCCTATTGCTGTTTGTCTTCTTATATCATTGATCAGTTTCAGATAATATAATATTTTTTTTACAAGCAACAGAATAATGTGATGATGCCGTTGTGTCCCTCCACATTATTTATTCACAACTGCATTATGCACATACACACGCGCACACCGACAGACACATTCGCAGATACATATTGTTATTATATGATGCCAGGGATACGTTGTCATGAGCTCTCTAAATTAGCACTTTTTGGATAAAAGAAAATAGTGCACAAATTATATCTTCACGTAACCAATATTAAGGTGATCTCACTGTAAAAAAAATTCAGCTCAAAATACTGTAAAATAAAATTAATTTGAGGCGGTCAAAGATGATAGTTTACTTTGGTCAAATGAAGTCAAAATAAAGAGAATGTAAAAGTTTAACAGATTCATGATTCAACATTTATACATGATCACGACAAAATGGCAGAGAGCTCATGGCAATTGTCATGAGGTCAACTTCATGGTAACATTAGGTGGGACTAGGGCTGCAACTCGGGTGAGCCCAACCCGAAATAACCCGAGTCTAGTCCGAAATTTTGTGGGCTTGGACAATGTTTTTTTAATTTCAGTTTGGGCCTGGGATATATATTTTGAGCCCGAATTCAATTCGGATTAGGCTTGGGTTGATATGGATGAAGCCCGAAGTCCAACCCGAACTCGAAAATATTATATATATTTATAATTGTTTCTAAGTCACAAGAGTGTAGTAGCTAAGTTAGTATTGTGCTTGGTATTTATGCTTAATGTTTCAGGTTTAAGTCATGGGTGTAGCATTAATTGATTCAATTGTTACACACAAATTCTTCTGAGGTGGGCTTAGTGCGGGCTCGAGCAGGGCAAATTATGTATGGGATGGGCTTGGGCAGCTCGGCTCGGGATGGGCTTGGGCTGAAGATTTTCTATATGGGTCTATCCCGAGATGAGTGCCAAGCTTGCCCAACCCGCCCGAATTGCAGTCCTAGGTGGGACATACATCGAGTAATGTAGAATATGTTTGTAGGGTGAAATACAAAGTTAATTGTACCCCCTTTGATTACTCAATGTTTGTCTTTGACGATGCAACTGTTGGATTGAAGAATATATATATATATATTACTATTTTTCATGATATTTAGAATTTTCAAATTTATTTATAGCATTTTATTTTAATATTTTTATTAACGGAAACATTCTGTATGGGTGGCCATCCCCATCACCTCCCTCTTGTGGGACTTGTCTTGAACTATACACCTTTGTCTAGCTGAAGATACTATCTAAGCTACACATCTGGTGGTATGCTAACATTTCAAACCTTTCCACCTGTTGCTATCAATTTCAATCGACAAGAAACATAGTAAATTATTGTTTTCAATTCTCAAACAAATATAGGCACCTTTATCATTGTGCCAGATATATATATATATATATTTTAAATTTCAATAACATCATGAATAGATGTTTTTGGATTATTTGTTAGTTAGGAATCACATATTCAACTTTTATGTTGCCATTGGATATAATTAAATTATAGAGCAATAATGCAAACCAATGACTTGATGTCTGTTTATGTCTTTGGACCTAATAAGCCACGACTAATAATGCCCAAAATTTTAACACCCCCTTCCCCTTCTCTCCCAAACACCACCAAAAACAAATAAAGAAAAAAGGAAAACAATATTTACATGCATGGTCATTGTATAATTATTTATTATACTACTTTACGAGGAGCCTGGATTATATAGAATAGATCTCTAATAATACTTGAAATTTCTAAACTATTAAGAAGGAAAACATAATTTTGAGATGATTTGTAATTTTAGAAACTTCTAATGGCTCCATGCTAAACATTGTCTTCAAACGCCTAATATTGTTCACATCTCTCTCTCTCTCTCTAGGTAGATGTCCTGGCCATTTTTAGATGCCACTGATCTTTATATACATGCAATGCCCCGGTCCTAATAAATTCCCAAGGGATGGCTCCAAGTGGGATTGCTCGAACTCGGGGCCTCAGCATCTTATAACAGTGTCCTAATCATCTTGTGTACGCTTAGGATTAGTGCCTAATTCATTCTCAGCTAGCTTGAAGAGTAATTGTTAACTACATTTTCTGCACCATCTTCAATGATGTATCGAATTAAAGAGCAACGGCAAAATAATTTTGTTGGTACTCTTTATATGATTTTACAATGCACTGTGGATGAAATATCTATGTATAACTATCACTTGATACATTTGTCCCTGTTGGTGCAGTGGTTGATGGGTTTTTTGAGCTTTTGGCACAAAGGGGAGGTGCGCGCAATAAGGGTAAGAATCTTGCCTTGGCACGTCTTCGTTGGCCTATACACATATGGTTTGGCTGTGGTAACAGCAGAGACCGGGCTCCTCGAGAAGTTGACGTTTTTACAAACGAACGGAAATGTATTGAAGTATTGCAGAGAGTCCATGATTGTAAATAGTATAGGACTTGGATTGGCTCTGCTCAGCGGCATTGTAATATTAGCTGCTGCCTCACCAAAGCACCAAACCCCACAAACTAAGGTCATTTATTCAAATGGCAAGCATTTGTCTTAAACTGATCTGTACAATATTATCTTTCGTGTTCCATACCTACGAGTGTTTGTTGTAAAGCGATTGGGAAATAGAAATTGGAGTATTGAATGCTGGCATTATGTTGCCGATCTATCTCTCTACCTTGATGGCTGTGGCTCTTTATTTTCTAAGCAACAGGTTGAGGTTTCAAGACTAGTAGAGAGAAGAAAGAAAAAATTCTGGCATATTTCGAGCAATGGTTTGTTTGCTTTTTCCTAGTTGGTGTTTACTATTTGCATTTTTCCTGGATACATTTGATGATTGTGTGTATTTGTAGAGATTAATTTGGACACTGCTTCAGTAGAGATTTGTAGGAAATAATGGACGAAAGATTTTTTTATTTTTCAAAGTATTCCAGCAGATTGAAATTATTCTGATAGTTGTAAATTTAAGTTGTCTTGTGCTAGGCCTGAATTAGAACATGGATGTTAGACCCTCCCTATATACAGATTTGGTGCTATTTTTAGAAGTCCTTGTGCTATGAATGGGGAGTGTTACTGATTGTATTCCAGCATCATGTGGACTATATATATATATATATATATATATATATATATATATATATTAAATTCTGACAAACTAAGGGGAGGAGAGGCTTGAACACGGCACACCCACTTGGGAGCTGAACACTCTACCAATTAGGCGACTGAGGAGCATTAGGTGGACTTAAAATACTAACAATTACCCTTTTGTGTGCAAGTGGCATGGCTATCATTGAAATTAAAATTTATTTATTTTAACCCTAGCAAGAGTAAGGAACATTTTAACCAACCCGGCTATCATTGAAACTATAATTTAAGAAAGCAAGTTCCATGCTAAACTTTGAATGGTAAACTTCGTTTTAAACCTAGACCAACTTGTGGACTTTCTAAGAATAGCTTGCATATAGAATCTGCAATTATGTGGATCTATGTTGTGAAAAATTCTAAAATAGTCCTGGTACCGTACCTAGGTCTTCCAACTGTTGAATGTAATGGTGAGGTTTATCTGATGTTATGATCTAACGGTTGGGAGACTCCAGGAGTATGGTACCCCAAAGTATATAGAACTTGTTAATGTAATAGAGACTCATGTGATGTTATAATATAAGGTTGAGAGACTCTAGAAGTATGATAGTCCGAAGTACATAGAACTTCTGGTATGTTGTAAGTTGTAACCCTTTTCAAGAATATACACACATCTCTAAATCAAGTTTAACAACCCCCTCTCAAAAAAAAAAAAAATTGTTTCCTATGGTTGGATTCCCTACAATTCTTGTGGTGAGGGTGATGATTGGAGTGGTAGTTGCAGCTTTTGGTTCTCATTTGACAAAAGAATACTTTTCTATATTTTGTAACAAAATGGTATAAACAACCTATTCTATTGTTCCATTGTTTTTTACAAAAGAATACTTTCCACCAAACCAAAAGAAAAAGATTCTCCTTTATAATTTAGGAAATTGCAAAGCCCATCAATTTTTATTTTATTTTTCACCACAAAGCCCATCATGGCCCATGCAATGATTCATAAATTTAAAGTGCAGCTAATGAACTAAAACAATTATAAATTTTTTTAAAAAAATCCGAGTTAGCTTCGATCATAATAAAAATTTTGAAATTTTCAATAGTCTTTCTAACTTCTCTAGCACTGAAAAACACAAAAACAAAACCCTAATACGAAATTTGACTTAAAATTGGCACGTCACTAACCTTTAACTAGCACTTGAGTATTGATTTTTGGCCCATTTTCAGTGAGGAATTGTTCTTCTTAATTAAAAACATACTAGTCGAAACTGCACCGAAAAATCATTGGACAGTTTCAATTCTCTCCGGACTTGATGATCATTTTTAATTGAAACTAAAACTAGGTTAGGAACATCCAAACAATGACTTTAGAAAATGATCATCAAGAACCAGTGGTGCTTGGGATAGTACTGTGGCTGTTTTCTGCAGTAGGCCCTAAGAATTTATGACTTAGAAAATGATTTTTTTTTTCCTCTCCCTTTCTGATATGTTTTAATTCTTTTTGTTTTTTCACAGGTTTAGACTAATAGATTCCTGTGCCAAACCTTTAATTGTTTTTGGATGGACATCATCATAAGCTCCACCCCCTACCAATCAAGACATCCATGTCACCATCCAGATGGGTTCATAATGTTCTATCATTTTCTGTATTTCAAGCACTTGCTAGACCTACAAATATAATGAATAAATGTATAACATGAGTAGCCCAAGATTTATCCTAGGTTGGTAGGATTTCAGACACAAAATTGGGAAATAATACAGATAAAAACACAAAAACAAAAAAAAAAAAACAAAATTTTCGTAATTGATAAGTATCTTAACTTCAAAACTTGATTACATACTTTTCCTCTTTTTACAAAGTCAACTTACTTTTTCTTTTTACAATTATCACTTTTTTTGTTTCTGCCCTAATCTCTCACACCCATCTTTTATTTATCTAGTCTTCACACCAATTATTTATTGGATAAGAGTTTACAATTTCCCTACCAAGAAATTTCCATATCAATCTTGCTTAACAACTTCTCCAATTGAAATAGGAAACTAATTTACGAAATCCACAACCGGTTCTGCTAAAGCACAACGGATTCCAAGTCTTTATCGTTACAACCATCATGTCCAAGCTTAACCGATTCCAATTCTTTAAAATATCGTTACAATCATTTTATCCAAATGCAACCGGTCCTATTAAAGATTTCTACTTGTTCAGAATAGAATTCCCCACCACAATTTGAGCCACAACTGTAACATAGATATATTTAAAGTGGAACAGATGTTTTTTACTTAAAATATATGTAAGAGTTAAAACTTAAAAGCCATTTGACTAGTGTATAGGAGCAGCAATAATAACAATAAAAATAATAATGAAGTTTATAAAAGTATTATTGCTATTGTGTGAAGGATGTTCAAAATATGCGTAGGTTTTATATGTGAGATGCTTTCTATCCACCTAATAGAAATAAAAAATTTATATATATAAAATAAAAATAAATAAATAACTGAAGAGAAAAAACCAAAGAAGGGAGAGAAGAAAAAACAAAGAAGGGAGAGAAAAGCCAAAAAGGCAATTAGGTGGGCAAAAAGGTCAAATCCTCTTTTCCCATAAAAAGTTTGGTTCATTCCATTTTCCTTTTGGCTAACATGTTACAAGTTACATCTTCCACACCACATATCCATTCCATCCCCAGACACAAGGAATTAAAGCTCTACATTCCTTCACCAAAACCACCATCTACTTTTTTGCTTTATTTTGTGCCAAACCCATGATAAAAGGAAACATATGTGCTCTTTTGAATGGTCCCACCTAAGGATGATAACGGAGCCTGTGTTTCTTCAAATTTAGACTTGCTTTTAAAGTTCATAATTTATATTTACGGACATAAGGTTTACCATTTACGTGTTTTTGTTTTTTTTTTTATCTATATAAATAAATTGATAAAATATCTAAATTTTATACACTATAAATATATAGTAAATAATGATATATATATATATATATATATATTAAATAAAAGAATAAAGAAAGGACGGGCGGATTTTTTTAAAAACCCATAACCCCTAATGGGTTTAAAATCTAAATCCATACATATTCTACTGTGAATAAATGATTTCCATACTTGTGTAGGCCCACCTTTTGCTTGTAGGTCCTCATATTTAATAAGGTGGTTTGAAAACTCTAATCAATGATTTTTTTTTTTTAATTAAAAAATCAACCTTTGATCTAGTGAATATTGTAAACTTGCGGTCACCTTTAAATTACAAGTATGATTTAAATTATGATGTTTTTACAAAAATTGAACTCAAAATGTCCTAGTTTAAGATTTACCCAAAACAAAAACAAAAACAACCTTCTGCAGTTATGAAAAAAAAAAAAAAAAAAACACTGGGTTCCTAGTATGAAAAAACACATATGAATGTGAAATTTTGCAGTGGAGGGTGAGGCTAATATGATTTTTGGGACTGATGGATAGTTTTGAATTGTGGGTGTATATATGAGTATCATCCATTGAAGAGTCTGAATGGACAAAGACCACCCAGTAGCTGTATAAAATCCAAAAGATAGGTATATTGTGGGGCACTAAAGAATTGTCTAACCCTCTCCTATTCTGTCCCACAAGCAGATAAACCTTGAGCAAGACAAGGCAAGAAAAAAAAAAAATTTGAGCGCAAATGTTTTTGTGCAATTTTACAGTTGCTGGTGTCTTTTTCAGTCTGTATATTATTAGTTGTTTAACTGGACATTCCACTGCAAAAAAAGGATTTAAACCACCCATTTCAAGAATTTCAATCCTACTGGAGAAAGACTAGCCACTAGTTATGTTGGTGGCTGCTGTCGCTCTGAGATGGGCAGTGGGGATTAAATTCTATTTATCAAAAACAAACCCTTTTTATTTTTTTTTTTGGTTTTCCTTTTGAAGAGTCTATAAAGCTGATAAGATGATAATGTTAATGATGTGGAAATGTTTTGTAGTTGGAAATAGCCATTAAATCTGCATATTTTCAACATTCTTGACCTGGGTTTAGGGTTGAGTCTGGATTGTCTTGCATTTCTATTGGTCTGATGGTATGAGTTATATGCTATGGGATTGTCTTTTAAGAATTGGGTTGTGTTTGTAGATGAGTGGAGAGTTGAATATCTTTCACATACAACAATACCTACATGATAAGCAGGTTAGGCTTCCTGGTTGCTGCTTCAATTGCAGCCTATGCAATTAAGCAGATTAATGTCAAAAACTCGAGGTCACCGCCCTCTTTAACCAAGCCTTCAGGTACTTTCTATCTATCATTTGATTGTTTGTTACCTGTTTGATAAATTTACTAGTCTAAGAAAGGTATGCTCCCATTGAGGAATAGATTTTATTACAGTTGTGAACTCTATTCTGGTTGTATAATACTTTGTCATTCGGTCTTTAATCTGTTTAACTTGCGTTTTGGCGAAAATTGGAACTCAGAAAATGGCAAAGCAACCTCTGAAAAACCTCAGAATGAAAGGGAAGACGGAGAGCAGTTTACGTATTCTAGTTATGGCCTCAAAGAGGAGGATGTAAGTATTATGGTGAACCTTCATCAAAATATTTTTAATATGCAGTTTACATGTTTAAATAGTGAATTGAAATTGAATTTTTGTTTATATTTTCACTTGAGAAGATTATATTGCAGGGAGAGGAGGAAGAGGAGAAAGAAGAGGTTAAATTAATGAGCAGTGTAATAAATTTGGCTCGGAGTAGTTCACCTGAGATTGAAGATGATATTTTACCTGAATTTGAACGCCTTTTATCGGGGGATATTGATTTTGGATTACCCAGTGACAAGTATGATACAGAAACCATATCAAAGATTGAGAGAGAGAGAGTTTATGAAACTGAGATGGCAAACAATGCAAGTGAACTGGAGCGACTACGCAATCTAGTGAAGGAACTAGAGGAGAGGGAAGTGAAGCTCGAAGGTGAATTGCTCGAGTACTATGGTTTGAAGGAGCAGGAGTCGGACATTACTGAGTTACAGAGGCAGCTCAAGATTAAGACCGTAGAGATTGACATGCTGAATATTACCATCAATTCCTTGCAGGCCGAGAGGAAAAAGCTTCAGGAAGAGGTCTCTCGGGGAGCTGCTGCTAGGAGAGAACTTGAGGTGGCTAGGAATAAGATAAAGGAGCTGCAGAGACAGATTCAGCTCGAAGCTAATCAGACAAAAGGCCAGCTTTTGTTGCTCAAACAACAAGTGAGTGGTCTTCAGTCAAAGGAGGAAGAAGCCTTCAAGAAAGATGCCCAAGTCGAGAAGCAGCTTAAAACTCTCAAAGAATTAGAGGTGGGGGTTGTGGAGCTAAAGCGGAAGAACCGAGAGCTTCAGCATGAAAAGAGAGAGCTGACTGTTAAGCTGGATGCTGCTGAAGCCAGAGTAACAGCCCTTTCTAATATGACAGAGGTAAAAACTCTCCGGTGCTCTCAGCATATTCATGTGCTCATTTGTGCTCAATTTAGCTTATGTTTCTCTTTCTCCGTGTGCTTATTTCTCAAGTGTCATATAATACGAAGAATTATATGACACTTGGACTGTGGAGATATATATTTTCTTTTGAGCAAGCCACATTTGATTTTGTATTTTATGTTTTAGTGAATAAACCTTCTAGCTAAGTAACAATAAAATAGCCACATCAATTAACTTGAGATACTTCACTTCATGCTGCTGCAGAGTGAAATGGTTGCCAAGACGAGACAGGAGGTAAATAATTTAAGGCATGCTAATGAAGACCTTTCAAAACAAGTCGAAGGACTTCAGATGAACAGGTTCAGTGAAGTGGAGGAGCTGGTGTATCTTCGTTGGGTCAATGCATGCTTGAGGTATGAGCTGCGGAATTACCAAACACCTGCAGGAAAAGTATCAGCTCGTGATCTCAATAAGAGTTTGAGTCCAAGATCCCAAGAAAAGGCTAAACAGCTGATGTTAGAATATGCAGGATCAGAACGTGGCCAGGGGGACACAGATGTTGAAAGCAACTTTTCTCATCCATCTTCTCCAGGAAGTGAGGATTTTGACAATGCTTCTATAGACAGTTCTACAAGTAGATACAGTAGTCTCAGTAGAAAGCCAAGTTTAATCCAAAAACTGAAGAAATGGGGAAAAAGCAAAGATGACTCAAGTTCTCTTTTATCCCCTTCTAGGTCCTTCAGTGGAAGCTCTAAACCAAGGGGTCCACTGGAAGCTCTGATGTTAAGAAATGCAGGTGATAGTGTAGCCATCACTTCATTCGGGAAGGTGGAGCAGGAAGCTCCTGAATCTCCAGAATCTCCAAATCTCCCACACATTAGGACACGGGTTTCATCTAGTGACTCGCTGAATAATGTCGCGTCATCATTTCAGGTGATGTCAAAGTCGGTGGAAGGAGTTTTAGATGAAAAGTACCCAGCATATAAAGATCGGCATAAGTTAGCTTTAGAGAGGGAGAAGCAAATTAAGGAGAAAGCTGACCAAGCACGAGCAGCAAGGTTCAGTGACAATTTGAGTGCAAGCAATAAGTTTAGAGCCAAAGCAGGCGAGAGACCTGCATATTTACCACCAAAACTTGCTCAAATAAAGGAGAAGGCAGTTATTTCAGGAGATTCAAGTGCTCAATTAGGTGATGATAAAACAGTTGATTCTCAAATGGTGAGCAAGATGAAATTTGCACATATTGAGAAAAGACCTCCTAGGACTCCACGGCCACCTCCTAAACCATCTGGGGGTGCTCCTGTTGGTTCAAATACTAGTGCTCCAAGTGGAGTACCAGCCCCTCCACCCCGGCCACCACCTCCACCAGGTGCTCCACCGCCGCCACCCCCCCCTGGTGGACCACCTCGTCCGCCTCCTCCACCAGGAAGTCTACCAAGAGGTGCTGGGAGTGGTGACAAAGTTCACAGAGCTCCTGAACTGGTTGAATTCTATCAATCATTGATGAAACGTGAGGCAAAGAAGGATCCATCATCATTGGTTTCTTCAACATCCAATGTGGCAGATGCTAGGAGCAACATGATCGGGGAAATTGAAAACAGATCATCATTCCTATTAGCTGTATGATATCTTATTTCTCAAGAATTACATTTTACGTTACATCTCGAGCATGAAGTAAAGATGCTCTTTACATAATTCTAACAAAGAGTGATATACTGTCTGTCCTGGACCCAGGTAAAAGCTGATGTGGAAACTCAAGGTGATTTTGTGCAGTCACTGGCAAGTGAAGTTCGAGCAGCTTCATTTACCAACATAGAAGATTTGGTGACATTCGTTAACTGGCTAGATGAGGAACTCTCCTTCCTGGTATTCACTAAACTTCAATACTTGAAATGTGCTATTTGTATATCAGAGATTTACACGGTTTTGAATTAAAAGGGCTCATATTTTATATAAAGAATTAGAAATTTACAGGAATATGAAAAATCTGTCTGTCATGCCCTTGACAAAACATGAAGTCTACTCTGATATAATTTACTAAGATTACCTCTCTTCTTGTTCAGCATTGCTCTATGAAAATAAAATAACTCTGCCCTACTCGAGCTTTTCATACTGCAGGAAACTGTTCTTATTATCATGACTATATAAACCACATTAGCATTTGAATATCTTGCAATGCATGATATGAAACCGGTCAATAAATTTTATTTTCTGTAATTTGTAAGGTTGATGAACGAGCGGTCCTCAAGAACTTTGATTGGCCTGAAGGGAAAGCAGATGCACTGAGAGAGGCAGCCTTTGAATATCAGGATCTGCTGAAGCTGGAGAAGCAAATCTCCTCTTTTGCTGATGATCCCAAACTTTCCTGCGAAGCTGCTTTGAAGAAAATGTACAAGTTGCTTGAAAAGTATGTGTTTCTTCTCATGAATGTATTAGTTAATACTTAATATAGAGCACTGAGATGGCTTATATGGTTAGGACAGGACGTCGTCTTCTTGTTTTTTCGAAAAATTATGCCATTTCAATAGTTAGGAGAAGGTTCCGAGGAACCAATTGAGAAATTTCTACATGCTAGGAAAAGACCATCCCTTCTATGTTTGAGCAATTTTATTTTCTTTCAAAGTCTTGGTTAGAGTTGTTAGTATTGTTGTCTAAGATTTTAAATGAACACAAAATATTTCAAAATTTTCCTTTTCTTTTGTGAACTTGAACTGCTAATAATATGTATTTTGAATTTTCTTTTCCAGAGTGGAACAGAGTGTGTATGCACTCTTGCGTACACGGGACATGGCCGTTTCAAGATATCGAGAATTTGGAATTCCAGTTGATTGGTTGCTAGATACAGGAGTTGTCGGCAAGGTATGCTTCAAAACTATAAGAAACTAACTTCATGGTGCTTAAATGCAGATTCAGTTCTGTAGATCAGTAGATGTTTGGATTATTGATTTTTTTTTTTTTCGTCCCGGTAAGGGATCATTGAATGTGTTATCGTTTTATGTAACTTGTGCTTTTTACTGATGAGCAAGCTCTTACAGATACTAGTTAGCTCTAATATGTTGTTCTGATAAATCAACGAGAAATCATAAATATATACTACGACAAACTATAAACTGCATTGATATCTATATGATTCAAATTTAATCACTGAAATGAGAAATCTTAGATGTTTAATTCTAAAAATTGGTCTACTCTCATGTCTTCTCCCTGCAGATCAAGCTCTCATCTGTACAATTGGCAAGGAAATACATGAAGCGTGTAGCATCAGAACTTGACGCATTGAGTGGACCCGAGAAGGAGCCAAACAGAGAATTTTTGCTTCTGCAAGGCGTTCGTTTTGCTTTCCGTGTTCATCAGGTATTTACATCTGTGTTCATCTCAAGCTTGAATGTTTTTAAGTTTCCTTGTGGAATTGGAGGAGAAATAACCATGAGAATGTAGACTGCTGAGACAGTCCTGAGGTTCAATCCTCACGTCTGTCAATTATCCAGCAGGTTTTCAGTGAGGATTTCAGTATATGTAATATCTTCAATAGATGTGTGTTTGTTTGTGCACGCTTGTGTTGCTAAAGCATTGCTTCTCACCTTTCTTGTAACTTTTCAAAACATTAAACATGACAAATTATCACAGATACTGAATGAAATGTTTTACTTGTTTCTAGTTTGCGGGAGGCTTTGATGCAGAGAGCATGAAGGCTTTTGAAGAACTCAGGGGCCGTGTCCATGCACAAACAGTTGAAGACAATAAGTTGGAAGAATGACGGCTTTATTTGTTTTTCCTCCCTAATATATACCCGATTTTCAGTTGTATATTTCATTGTCATCTTTACATAGGGATGAAAACATCTTTTTTGTTGGACATTGTACAATCAAAAAAAAAAAAAAAACATATACAGGGTTTATTTCTTAATCCAAGCTAATCTCAATGTGCTTACCAGATCCAAAGACCAAGCAAAGATGCAGGGGTTGGAAATCTGTAGGTGTGACTCAATAGCCAAACAAAGAGTTGTCAGAATTAGTCTACATGGTACAATTTATGTTTGGACCGTATATAGGCTTCGAATTTATGTCTTTTGTGCAGAAGAAACAGTGCGTATATGTTGTGCTCTAGGGAGAAAGGAACAGACGAGACTTCAAGTTTGAATAGATGCAAATAATTACACTATTATGTATGGCATTCTCAGTCCTGCGTCCAGTTTGTTTAATTGCAGTGTAGGTAAGAGCCCTGAGGTGATCGTCTTGATCGTGTTCGAGACTTTGATGTTCGAGACTTTGATAAGCCGATTTGTTTCTATTTTTGTAGAATTGAACTTTCTGCTAATACAACTCAACTCACAAAGCCTCTCTGCTTATGCAATTTTGCTCAGGTTGGCATGTTCATAGGTTGTAGCCAGAGAAATGTGAACCAACTGTTCTATGCATAGCTAGCCCAATGCTTACTTCTTATGTGGGGGTAAACATCTTGTAGAACTATCCCGAACCGTCCCCTGCTATAGCACTATAGATGTTAAGAATCTTGTTGGGAAACATATATACATATATGTGTGTGTGTGTGTGTATCCTACATAAATGTAGAAACCTCTACCGTAGGGATCCCATATAACTGTCATTTGTTGGCTTTATTCAGAATAAGAGGTATACAAGCTACAAGGGGCATACCCCAGAGAGACAGTACAAGAGATGTTTTTAACATCTGATGAAATGAATCTGGAATTTCGTAAAACAATCCCATATTTGATAGTGTTGATATGAAAAATGTTGGCAATGCTTGCCACTGTTCATAGTTCCATAAAAGAAACTAGGTAAATTCTACTCGAAAGCAAGAAAAGATGCTTAAACTATCGCATAGTGATGGTAAGACTTCTATCCATAAACTTGGCACCTGCCACCTTTCCTTGGATTTGAGACGGGAGATGAATGACGCGTCTTTGATCCCCGGCTTCCACCAACAACTCAGATCCTCCCCTGAACTGCAATTGGTGGAATTGAAATTTAATCAAAATCGTACTTTCTTTGAACTGTCCAAAGATTCTACAAGTAAAAAGCAGACAATAAAAGCACACAAACGTAATGCAGATGATGGTTTCAGTATCAGGCCAATGGAATACAAATATATATTGTTTTCTTAAAAAAGAAAATACAAAATCCACTGTGACATCTCTCTGAGCTAAACAAAAACAAAAGTATACTAGATGTGCTAATTCACATATCATTAATAAAGCATTTTAAAGTGCCATCACTTCCCTATCTTTTTCGCATTTGATCATTTAATAAATCACAATTTATTAGAAGAAAAAGTACAAAAAAGAAATTATGTCCTATAGGTATAAAAAGTATAAATAAATCACAACTTATTAAACTTGGCTTTCAATTTGTTTTTTCCCCTATGCTTGGCTTTCATTTTTGCTGTGTGTAAAAAGTGTTCTCCAGTCATCACATCTCCCTTCAGGTGCCAGCACAGTAAATTGATACTAAAAGAATCGATACTAGCAATACCTAGTTTACTATAAATAAAAGAAGTGGGACTGCAAAATATAGGATGGCATGCACATACTTGGTATAGCTTGATTTCTGACTTGTCAAAACCTGGCATAAGAAGGGTGACCGATTTCTTGGCTTGATCAAACTTAACCAAAGGCATAATATTGCTGCTGTGGTTTATTGGCATGGTAAGAAGTTCTTGTGCATCTTTACTGAGACCATTCAGCATGATCTTACTCCAATCCAGAGGGGAATCCGTTGAAACATGTGGAATGAAAGCAAAAGGCATAGGCGAAAATTTCTTTGCAACAGTTTCTGTTGATTCTACACGAGAATTTGGAGACACAATTCCGAATGCACCAGAAACCTGCACACCAGCTTGCATTATACAACCCCAATAACGTAATGCAGAATCCACAGAAGGTGGACTATTCGGGTCCATCACAAGGTAGCAGCCAAACCTATGTGGTTCTGCAAAGGCACAAGATCCTCTCTGCAGAGCACAATAATCAAATCCCAAATCATATTGAGTTGCAACTTGCAACAACCCCGAATTATAATTAAAAAAAACGGAATAACATACCTCCAGAGTTTGTTCAAGAGTGTCCCATATTTCTGAACTCAATTTGCCATTGAGATTTAACCCCCTGCTGCTTAAACTCAGTGCTTCATCAGCAAGTCTCAACAGAGAGGGACTGGCCAACCTTCCAAGATCGGACCTCTCAGCCAAGTTGCGCATATATTTCAAATACAATCTGTGCAGAAAGTGATTGCATACAGATCAATATGAGAGAGAGTGTGTGTGCGCGCGTGTGAGAGAGAGATAGTTCCCTTACCTTGCCTTGCTGGCAGCACCTATCATCCGTATAGTTTCTTCAGTACTTAAGCCATCATATATAACTATGTCAAATTTATCTTTCTGGTGGGATCTTTGAGCCACATTCTCAAAGAAGCCCAGAAGCCTCTCAAGTGCTAAGGCTGAAAATATAGTGTCCATTCCAGGAAGAATCCCAAGTTCTTCTCCCACCACCTACTACATTATGAAGAGAGAAGCATGAGATTTCTCCACATATATTGACGAAATAAAATAGATACCATGCTCTTTTAGATGACAGTTCACTAAATAATCAAAAAGATTGTTACATACCCACCCCTTCAAGAACTCCTTGGGTCAAATTAAGATGAGCATCTGCTTGCTTCAGCCGATTGAGAGGTTCAAGAAGCATCTGCAGTTATCGAGAATGATTCATCGAGAGTAAAACACAACTGAAATGAAACCTCAATGTGAGATCTAAAAAAACTGAAAAGGAACGAAGAAAATAACACACTTTAGTAGTTTCCAACCTAACAGCCGAAAGGTGGTCATTGCATGTGACAGGAGAAGTCCCGATCTTACAATTTAGAAGATAATCAGCAGTGTGATCTTGGGAATGTATAACCAAACAAGTTTTAAGCCCAGCCATGGCATAGTTCTGGGCACCAAAAACATTAGATTAATTAAGATGAGAAGTTTAATTTTAAATAAACTATAGCATAAACTTAATTATGCAAAGTAATTGAAGATGTCAAATTAACTAGCGAACAAGATAAATATGGTAGTCAAAGCCCATCAACTAAATAAATTAAGCAAAGAAAATTCAATTCCCTACTCCCAATCCTCTAACTCAAGAGGAGGAGGGGTAAAAAAGAAGTCTCAGTAGGTCCAAGATAACTCAAGAGGAATTTATTTATTTATTTATTTTTCATTTTTTAAGGATGGCATACTTTGTTGAGAAATGATTCTACAAAGCTAGTATGGGATGGAGTTATCAAAAAGAATTTAGAATGTAAAATATAATAGGAGAAATGACTTATTCAGAAAAGATTGTAAAAACATAATTCATTAAGGTATAGATGATGATGGTGCTTCGTTGAGAAACTTTAATGTCATTTCTTCTATTATACCAGTGTTTAAAGTTCAGTACTTTTTTACAATCTACATTTTAAATATAGTTAATTTTTTTTTAATTTTATATTTATTCAATTACAAAATCCTTTGAAATTATTACATGCTTCTTTATTTCTATCATAATTTTCAACCTTTTACAATGTCCCATTTATATCTTTCAATTACAAAAATGTCTCACCCCTATCCTTTACTGTCACACTTAAAAGTAACCAAGAAATTAGCTAATGAATTCCTTTTAACAAAGGCCTTATTAACCATTAAGGAAGGACTTTCGATAATAGGAAGCTCCCCAAACACAAACAGGGCCTAGAACTACTCAAAAAGTACTAACCAAACAGTGTCTATGTTACTATAATCCAAGCTCAAGAGAAAATTCACATATCTCCTTTACCAAAAAAATTAAAATAAAATTAAAAGGTAATAAACAGTAATAGCAATTAAAAAAAAATGCAATCTTTATGCTAAGAATTGGGAGAATAAAACAGTTCTAAAAATTTTCAATCAGCTAGATATCATTAATGTACAGTAAAGCACCATAAAGAAAATGCATATGCAAGTTACATCCAAACACGGCTCTATCGGAATATACCTGAGCGGCGAAGACGGCCGAAGTGGTCTTGCCAGAACCACCTTTCCCTAAAAATGTCACTAATTTTGTGGATTTCTGATGTGTAGGAGGAGCATCGGTCTCTGATGAAGCGACCATGGTCAGAGCTCGAGCCCTCCTTCGATTAGTTCTGGTACTTGTTCGAATGATGAAACTGAAATTTGGGTTTGGTGGGTTGATTGAAGAAGAAGATGATGATAGGAGGAGTGGCAGAGCGTTCGAAGCCATCTCTTGACGGTCAATAGCGAGTGAAACAAGAAGATATATATATATATATATTGATGTATTGATATACAAGCATTTTATATAAGCAAAAATGTTGTAGCGAACGAAGAAAGGAAAGGAACGATAGACGAATAATTGCTCGATATACAAGCATTAGGTAGACTAATTGGAAGGGAGTGGGCCAATTATATGTCAGCTTTGTGCTTAAAGGAAATTGTTACATGAACTGGGGGTTAATATTACCACTTGACACGTGGGGTTTGATATTTTATTTTTTAGAGTATCTATATTCGTAAATAGTGGTCACCAAATTTTTTTTTAAAACCAGGTTAGTTTGTAACTCTAAAAAGAGTTCTCAAAAATTTTAAAAATAAAGAACAATCTTAAGAGAATATTAGGTCTTTTTTGGAATTGAACTCCCAAAATAGTTTTTTGTTTTGATACACATATCTTATTATATGTCTTTATCCCAATCTATGCAGGATACACACGTCTTAATATTAAATATTGATGTATTAAATGCACTTAATTTATTTGATAATGATGCAGCACAAATGAGAGCCTTTAGAACTCATCTGATGAATCAAATGTGGACATCATTAAGAGGTAATGCTAGATGAAGTTACTTTTATTAAGTTAAGAATATCAATTAAAATGAATTCACCTCTAACAATTTTATATATATATGTGTGTGTGTGTGTTTACATTAATAGTTAAAATCATAAATTAAAGAAATAAAAGAGTGTACAATAATATTTTTATTTATTTTCTTAGTTCAGAAAACTATTTTCAAAAACTCATGCAATCAAGTAGTTTTATGAGTTTTTATTTTTCAGAAACTGTTTTGTAAATTCTCTTAACCAAGCAGATTTGAAATCTGAAAAAACTTAAAATTGTTCTCTAAAATACAATCCAAGCAAGACCTTATTCTCTAAAAACAAGCTTTTTTTATAACTAAAAGTTTTCAGAAAACTAAATCAAACAGTATTTTTTGTACAATTCTATTTTCAATTTTTTAAAAACAGAAAACTGTTTTCATAATTACAAACCAAATATATTATTAGTGTTTTACATGTTTTCCTCACTATAGCAATTGCAACATTGAACAATACCCAAAAGAAAAATTGACAAACTCATAAATAAACTGTTTAAACTAATCATTATATCAGATATGTTTTTGTATTTAAAACACCGTTCAACAAAATACTTATTTATTTAGAATAATATTATGTGTATATATTTGAATAGAAATGATGAACCAAATACTTTAAATATATAAAAATGAGGGTGGTTTTTTTTTTTTTTTTTCTTCACAAAATGAGGTGATAATTTTTGGTATTAAATGAAATTTTCAACTCCAATTTAATATTTTAGTCATATTTAATGCGTTAAAATTACTTTGTTAAAAAATAGATATAGTATGTTAAAAAATTGATGTAATAGGTTGATAATCAGTTTGATTTTTAGTGAAAAAGGTTATTTATATGTATATAATATATATTTAATTATCATGAAAAGTCATTTTTGCCCTTACTTCTATACTGATTACTGACACATCAGACAACCCTATTATATCTCTCCCGCGGCTGTTTTTGACGCCAGCGACAGTGGCGAGTGACAATGAAAATGCTCCGGCGACGCCGAGACAGCAAAGAAGAGAACAGCGGCGTTGACGATGGCAACGATCTGATGATGACGGGGGAGGATAGGCGACGGCGAGGGTTGTTGTAGCGGCTGTTTAGTGGTTCACTAACTATTTCGCTTTGTAAGGAATTTAAATTTTAGATTCTTAAATCAAAACACTATGTATGGATGGTATGAACTGCCTAAAAGGGAAATTTATTGAGCAAATAAAACTTCTTCAATAAACTTATAAATTTTTTTTTTTTTTAATTTTGATGAGATACTAAAAGAAAATAAATAGAGTAAGAGTAAGGTTCAATTAGTATCGAAAGGGTTTGCATGATATTTAATTTACAGAAATATCAATTATGTCATCTGGGAAATCGGGGGATTCACTCTTTCTTGTAACTTTAAAAGTATTGATGCTATTGAAGGACCCGGTGTTCTGAATCAATACAATGAAGTTCATTTTTCTAAAAATCATCACATCAGAAAAGGGTGGAATGGAGTTTTTTGAAATATCCCTAAAAATTCGGTTTTGTCATGTTTATGAAAAAAGTATTATGATTATTAAGAACTCAACAGGACCTTCCCCTAATCTACGCCAAAATTAGTGATAGTGGTTTCTGTTTAATTGTTGAAACAGGATGAGTGCAGAGGAAAAATTCAGGATTGTGAGGAGTATCGGAGAGGAGTGCATACAAGAAGATGAGCTCTTTAACCTTCTCTCCAAGAAGCCCCAACCCATTTGCTATGATGGGTTTGAACCCTCCGGCCGAATGCATATTGCTCAGGTCTGTTCTTTGACATCTTATTACCCTTTTGAAGCTTTTGATTATGTACATTTAACTATATATTATTATTTAAAGTCAATTGAATTGTAATGCATCCAAACTTTTATTCTCTCCACTTTTTGCCTCATTTTCTTTTTAAAATTTTCTGTTTGTATAAAAATCAGAGTTTTATGATTCCTCAAGCTTATATCCAACAGTTGCATGTAAAACTTTGAAAAATGGATGTTGAAAATTGGGTTATATGTACACTTGGTTATTTTTGTTTACTGATGGCTACCTTCATTTCATTGCTTAACAGGGAGTTATGAAGATTATTAGTATAAACAAACTGATTTCTGCTGGTTGCAAAGTAAAGATCTGGATTGCAGATCGGTTTGCACTGCTAAACAACAAAATGGGGGGTGACTTGAAAAAGAGTCAAACTGTTGGATGTTATATGATTGAGGTATGGAAAGCTTTCGGGTTAAATCCTGAAGGTGGTGAAATAGAATTTTTATGGTTCTCTAAAGAAATTAATTCCCGGGCAGTTGAGTATTGGGATCTAGTAACAGATATTGCTACAAGGATAACACTTGCTAGGACTTTGAGGTTCAAGATTTATGACACTGATTAATTACTGTTCAATTGTTATTTTGTAAAGTAACCCCTACAAACAAGGAACTTTTCTCTCTTTCAGGTGTGTTCAGATCATGGGTCGTAAAGAGCAAGAAGATTTGACAGCAGCCCAGATTATGTACCCTTGCATGCAATGTGCTGACATATTTTTCCTTGAGGTATTTGTCATGAAATTGTGGATGCAATTAGCTATTTATCTTCTCAATGAAATGTTTAACCTCAAGCTCCCAAATGTGGAATTTCTATTATATATATATATATATATATATATATATATCACTATTAAGGCATGTCTTGGTAATGTGCGGAATTTTACTTTTATTCCTATTTAGCTCCAGCCATAGAAACTACTAGTACCACCTTCATTTTTAAACCATGAGTTTAGCTTGTCCATGCTAATATAATATGATCATTACTTGCTTTCCGATATTTAATGTTTGTTTGCTTATAAATAGGAAGTTTCAATTTATTAAAGGTTATTTTGCTATTTAATATGTCTTGCTTAATGATAATGTAAAATTATACAATTTGTCCAATCTCAACAGGCTGACATTTGTCAATTGGGCATGGATCAGCGGAAAGTGAATATGCTTGCAAGGGAATATTGTGATGATATTAAGAGGATAAACAAGCCTATCATATTGTCTCATCGTATACATCTGTCATCTTTCCTACTTCTCTTAGTTCTTATTTGTTCTCTATCCTGATATAGTCAGTTACTTACAGTTATATTGACTTGCAGACATGCTTCCTGGTTTGAAGGAGGGGCAAGAGAAGATGTCAAAAAGTGACCCAGACTCATCCATCTTCATGGATGATAATGAGGTATCATATGGTGTTACACAGTTGGAATTTAAAGGAGTTGAATTTTTACAGTATTTGCTTATTGAAAACAGAATGTAGCATTGAACTTACCTGTTTATAGAAGCTTCCCCTGTTATTCAACATTTTTCCCCATGTTTCGGTGCTATAGTTATGGAATACCTTGTAATGAATGTCACAGGCTCGTGTAAATGAGAAGATAAAGCGAGCTTTCTGTAAGGAAAAAGACGTTGAGGGGAACCCATGTCTAGAGTACATCAAATACCTTATCTTTCCATGGTTTCATGAGTTCAGGGTTGAGCGTAGTGCAAAAAATGGTGGTCAAAAGTGAGTTATGATTGCTTTGGACAACCTTGTCGAACTTTTTGGTTCTTATTACCTTGTGTTAAATTTTATATTTGTTCTAGATGTTCTGATCCTGTTTGTGCGAGCCATACTTCCTCTACTTTCTCATTTGTTAATCTGGTGCTTGAAGATTTTATTTTTTTTGGAATCTTGATTATCCTGGCTTTATTTGATGGCATCAAATGTCTGTGTTTGTTTTTCTAAATTCAGGACTTTCAGCAATTTCGAAGAACTGGTTGCTGACTACCAAAGTGGGAAATTGCATCCTGGAGACTTGAAACCTGCTTTATCCAAAGCATTGAATAAGATACTGCAGGTATGCACATTCGTCTTTTTCTATGTTCCAACTGGCTCTTCCCTGGGTAGTGATTTTCATTACCATGGGTCTTTACTCTGAACTTGATGAGCAATATATATATTTATGCCTTATATTTAAGCTTTTTGTTACTTGGGTTGCATTATCTTTGTCCAACTCTTTTTTTTTTTGAAAAGAATCTTTGTCCAACTTAATGTGAAGCATTTGGGTGACCATCCTTCAAAATTGTTTTCTTATTGACCACTCTGAAATGTAATACAAAGTCATGCGATCTACTTATCTCAAAAAAATTCAAAGTCGTGCGATCTATGAATGCATATAAGCAATTGATTGATTCATAATCAGCAATAAACAATAAGGAAGGTGTTCAACTGTTAATACTTCATACAGTTCTTTGATGTATGCGTATATATGTTTTATGTGCATGCGTTTGCATTACATTTTTCCCTTTTATTTTCAGCATATAATTTTATTCCCTTTTGCAAGGAGTTTATTACTTTGTTTAAATCCTGTATAATTGCGATTAATCTGTCATCCCTTGGCCAGTATCTCTGACAAGTATCATGTAATTGACAAGTGGTGTGATTCAAAAAACCTCATGTTTTGTGGGAGCAATCAATCACTTATTTAATGCTCAAGCATTATATGCATATAATGCCTCAAGGTCTTCCCAGTTGTAGTTGCATCCCCAATTGCTAGACTTGTTCATGCTCTTTTGCAAGTGTCTAACGGATTCAATATTCAACACACTGCTTATGAGTCCTAATATATTGTTTTTGACGGCTAAACAGATTGCCCTGCTCTACTCTGTCTTGTGCTTCAGTTCCTTGTCAAATTTGCCAGAGCAGAACATAAACCACCTGACACCCTTCCAAATTTCAGAAATTGTTCACCACAATTTCCAATTCAGTTTTCTTTTCTCGGAGTAATGAAAACAGAAAAATAAAAAGAAATTGCTTGGTTTTTTGTTCTCGAAATATTATTTGAGGAAATTGAGTGAAAAAAAAAAAGGATCATTATTGTGGAAACATCAGGATGATTATTTCTGTTATCTGTTTTCTGTTTCCAGTTAGAAGTACTGAAAAACTGAAAACATTCACTAAGCTCATTTCCAAAAGCTGTTTCAATCAGGCCAATTACATCTCTTGCTCTTATTTATTTGCTGTTTAGTGTTTATATTTAATTTGTCCTTAGATTTTATTTTTGTGATTGTGGTCATATATCCACTGCCGTATTTTTCATAAATGAGTGTAGTAGAAATGCAAATGTTAAATGGATGTGTGTTAAGACGAGGAGGGATAAAATTTGAAAAGAACACATTCTTTTAGCGGTTGAAGTAGCAGCAATTGGAGATCATGAAAATCGATTGAGATGGTTTGACCATGTAAAACAACAGTCAATGATTGCACCAGTTAGAAATGATGGCATGATTCTGATTGAGGGTAATGTTAGGATTAGGGAAAGATCAAAATTAATATGGTTGAAAACTTGAAATATATTTAGGAAATATACGATAGCATGTGGTTTATCTAAAGGTATGGCATTAGAGAGCCTGGAATAATAAAATAGGATTAATGTAGCCAACCCCAAATATTCGGAGAAGGCTTTGTCATTAGAGAGCCTGGAATAATAAAATAGGATTAATGTAGCCAACCCCAAACATTCGGAGAAGGCTTCATCAAGTGTTACCCCTGCTGCCATATCTAGGTGGAATAATATAGAACTTGGTTTATGACGATCTCGTTTGCACTTTTGGGGTGGATAAATAACCAGCTTCTCATTCGTATTCCTTGTGTATGAATGTGCAAAGATAAAATTATCAAGTTGATCAACAAACAATGTGCCTTACGTTTCAGTGTGATGACTTTATATTCCTTGTGCTATGCAGCCAGTTCGCTATCACTTTATTAGTGATGCCAATCTCAAGGAGCTACTGGAAACAGTGAGGGTATGTTCTGGCTAGCATCATTTTTCTTGTTCGATATTTAGTAACGCCTCACTCCCATTCTAATTTTAGCGTTTTTTTTAAATTTTTTTTTTTTCCCCAGAGACTGTAGATCTCATCGACTGTTTCTTTTAATGTAGGGCTACAGAATTACCAGATGACGCCGATTGGAATTTGCACCCCATTTTCCCCTGCGCAGCTATATATCAATGCAGAACTAGATTGAATTTTGCTTTTGCCATACTCAAAACAATACATATGTACATTAGGATATTAGGTTACTTACCTGTGCGTTTTTGAGTGCCATTTCCATAGCCTGATTGTTGTCCTTGCCAGAAAGAAAATATGGCTTTTTATTGGTCTTTAATATTGCATTTTTCGAACAGAATTTCATTTAGATTAGTAAAAATGGATTCATGTGGTTGTTTTTATATATTTGCGACAAGTCTTGTTGAGTTGGTTCAGTTTAAATGCTGTGATATAGATGAAATATTTTGATTGTTTCAATTTATTCTATTAGTGTCGGTTTGACCATTTTAATGGACAACTCTGTTTTGGTGGAAACATCTGAATTTTAATTTCTTATTGTTTCACAAGGTCCTACTGATGAAACGAAAGGAAATTTTTTATTCTTATTTATTTGAATTGGTTTGTAATAAAAGTGTGATCATACTTGTTATAAATATGGGAATATGATGAAAACTATGCTTTTATGACACAAAAAAAAAAATTAGGTGGAATTTTATGAACCTTTGTGTTTGAGAATATAGGAAGGAAAAATGAAAAATAAAATAAAATAAAATAAATAATTTGGGACTTTTGGACACTAATGCTACAATCCCCAATCTATGCATTCTTTCTCAAATGTGTTGAACACATTTGTCCCCAAAATTAGCAGCACTTATTTATGTGGCACCTAATTTTGGGTGAGAAACCAGCTAATTTATTTAAGACTTCTGACAATGTGAGGTTTGTAGAAAGTCAGATATATACAGTCTTATTCACACGAAAAAACTGTTTGCTAGTTAGAACCCGTAACCTATGTTTCCATTCAATTGTAAACTCCCAAGTAAAATAGTAATGAATTCAAGCATAAAGAACCATATCACTAATTGTTGCAAACCACTTGATTAACATTTGATAATACCCACAAAACAAAACTAGAGGAAAGCGATTTATTGAGTACTCCATCAAAAAACCAATTTGTACATATACATACATAATATTTGCAGCTAACTGGCTTCTCTCACCTCAGGAAAAGAAAAACTAGGCAAGTGGCTGGCCCTTGGTGACCTTGGAGGCAGCTCAGAAATCTGTTTCCCGCAATTATCATAATAAATCACACCCGAAAACTCCGGTGGCTGGCACTTCTCACCCATCAGGATCTTCTTCTGCCACAGCCCGCCCTCCCCGAACCCTTCCCCAGCTCTGTTCCCGAGCTCGGATTCCGAAGGATCATCTCCACCCTTCCTGTTGTAGATGAATGGAATTCTTTTGTTACTGATTGTTGTGATGAGCTGCTTCGGCACTGACCTCAACGGTGACTGTGGAGCGATTTTCGGATTATTCGTCTCCGTGATCACAACATTCTTTGTTGAGACTCTGCTTGTTCTTGCATGCTTTGCACACAGAGCAACAAGAGCTGATACTGAGACGAACAAGCCAATTGCTAATGGTATGGAACCAAAATGATCACTAGTGTCTAATGGAATTAGACGGACCATTTTGTACAATGATCGAAAGGGCTGTGTGTGTGTATATATATATATGTATATGTATTATTTTTGTAGCAGATGGAAGGTGGGAATGGGTGACTATTAAGGGGGCTTTGGAAATTAATCTATATTACTATTTAATGGTTTTTTTTAAAGGTTGTCTAATTTTTCTAAGGATTTGAAAGGTGATTAAGATCATGAATTAAGTAGATGGTTGAAAATGGACGGTCCAGATGACTTTTGCGGTATGATTTGGGGTAAAAGGATTGGAGGTGGTTGAGTCAACGCCATTGGTGTGAGAGGAAGGACATGCATGCCAAGATGAACCCTACTTAGGTCACCCATTTTGCAGGTTTCTTTCCATGACTTCGTAAAATTTTTAATTTTAAGTTGACTAATATGCAAAGTGCCAATTGGGTGTTTCACACTTTTATAGGGCCCACCTAATTCTTGACCAGGTCTTCTGCCGCCAACTTTTTTTAAGACGTGTTGATCATGTCACTGGCCTGAGATTTTAGGTCAACTAGGTTGTAATATATGATCACAAATCAACTGATTCAAGATCAGGAAAAAAAAAAAAAAAAACTGATTCAAGGCTATCTTCATCGTCATATATGAATCCTATTTATTTCTTATTCTGATGTGATTAGATATATATATATATATATATATAGTCTTAATCGCTTGTTTATTTTGTCAAACTGGCGTGCATTTGTGTGTGTGCATGAGAATGCCAAAATGTTCGTATCAAAGAGGGTGTCATACAAAGTTTGTACTTAGCCAATTAAATCTTTGTGATGATGCATAATACATACTACGTACAATATATATATATAAAAATGTATGATGAAATATATATCATTAACATTATCAACCATCACTTTGTTTGAATCATTCAAACCTGTGGCTAATATAATGTCAAGTATGATGTTAACAATTAAAGTTGGCTCCACGAGGACCGCGATTCATCTCCTGGTATTACACGCACGTACCTGTCTAATACACGTTCATTTTAATTCAACAAGAGAAAATGCAAATTCTCCCACAAAAATGTTTCTATTTCAAGTTAAGAGAAAAATTCCTCTGTTATATATATATATATATATATATAGATATAAATATATATTATAGTTCGCTATATCGATCGTGGTCGCGGTATAACGAACTCGAATAAAGTCAGTATAAACTGACCAATAAGAATAACGTATCATACTTGAAAAAGTAGTCGTGTATCAAATAATACGGCGAACCGTTATATATATATTCAACAACTAAAATGATTATGCTTATGAAGTTTGATCAATTTGATCGATACCATAAATATCTTTAATTTTTTTTAGGTGATCGGAATTTCCTCCCGATTAAATTCTCGAGACACCTGCAAAGCACCTCCTTTATAGAGATTGAGGACGTAAAACTATGACTTTTTATCTACCAACGTGACTTCAAAAAATTGTTTAATTTTAAAAGAATTAACCCTTAAACGTGATGCTCACCGACTACTCGAACCTTTCATTAGGTGGGCTTCCAATATTGATTCATTCCAATGATACCATTATTAGATATGATTGATTGTTGAAACTCATTTTATTGAAAAAACATGGGAAAAAAAATCAACCGATTTGTTTAAGCCATTATTTATCAACATTTGTGATGAACGTTTACCTATGAGTAAAAATATAACTACTACTCTGCTGAAATTGGCCTCATATGTCCTCTATATGTTGCTGTCCAAACTTCTATACGCGTAGTTGACTAATCTTTTTATAAAAAAATTACAATAACGTGTGTATATATATGTATCCAAATTTTTCTTAGTTGAGTGTACATTGATATATATATATATATATAATATTCTACAACAAACTTCAACGATGATTTAAGTTCTGTAGGGAGACCCTCCAATATCATCAGTGCATGTAAATCTAAAATATACCATCTAACGATCAAATTGTGTGTGTGTGTGTGTCTATATATATATATATATATATATATATATATATATATATATATATGCTGAAAATAGTGAGTAATCTATATCAATCTAAGCAAAACCCACCTATTTGAGAATTAAGTACTAAAAATTATAATTACTACTTAAAACTTTAGCACTTGTAATTTTTAGACTTAAAATAGTCATGTGATATATTAATCTAAGCAAAATAGTGTGTGCACATATTAAATCTGGATGGGAAGTGAAATGGGTATAAATGGGTTAGGTGTTAGTCCTATTTCATAATTTAAATTTTTAGATAAGATTGCGAAGTACTTACCAGTTACAGTTGATATAAGCATTACAGTTGATATAAGCGATCGGGTTGCAAGTTCAGGTGTGGATCCGAATAAGAAGTGGCATGTGGATATAAATGGATTAGGTGTGCTAAAGTTTTAAGCTGTAATTGTATTTTTTTTTTTTTTGATACATATATGTATATATTTTTATTTTAATGGTTCAATATTCAGTAACAAGTGAGGCCGTTGTCATTTAAAATTTTAACTCATTTTAAGTGACACTTATTTTTTAAGTGATATTTAAAATGTGCTATCAAATGCATTAATTGAATAAACAATTAATCCATTTAGAATTAGTGGTGGATGTGTTATCAAACAACACCTAAAAGAAATTACAAAGTATGGGCATATTCAAACCAAATCTGTAAATAATTTGGTGAGAAAAAGAATATTGATTTGCTGAATAGGTAAAAGACAGAAGTCAGACCAAAATTAACATAGAATTAGAAAATAAGAAATGTTCTTCAAAATTTAAATCTAATATATATATATAATGGATATCACAATAAATAAATAAATAGTACTCATATGAATTCACTAGTCGTGTATTATACATCTCCTCACCCCAATTAATCTAACACCTTTTCCCTCTTTTATCTAAATGGATATCACAATAAATAAATATATATATATATATATATATATATATATATATATATATATAAATAGTACTCATATGAATTCACTAGTCGTGTATTATACATCTCCTCACCCCAATTAATCTAACACCTTTTCCCTCTTTTATCTAAATGGATATCACAATAAATAAATAAATATATATATATATTGATATCCATTTAGATAAAAGAGGGAAAAGGTGTTAGATTAATTGGGGTGAGGAGATGTGACTAGTGAATTCATATGAGTACTATTTATGTATATAGGTTATTAATATATATATATATATATATATATATATGCATTACTAAGTCTACACGCTCTTGATCGTTTCATTAATGTCAGCAGTTGGATGGTAGATGATAAATGTTTGGAAGGCCCCATGAAATTGCATCAACATCATTAGCCTCCCTTGACCTAAGAGTAGGGAAAAGGTTAACATCCAAGAAACGATTCCCATGAAATTAAGTTAAAATCATCTTTTGGTTTATTTTTTAGTATATATATATATAGATAGTTCATTAAAGACATTACAAACTACTACTATTAATTAACTGTGCCATGCATTATTTGTCTTGCCATAGGGTGATGGAAAGGGAGTAATTATGGTGTGTTTGACACTTCTACATGTGAAAGGGAGGGAGGGAAGGAAAGAGGGAAGTATTTCTCTTCCGATTTGGCCTTTTTAAACCTCCAAACAATTTTCCTTTTTTTTTTTTTTTTTTTTTTTTCAATTTTTATGAAATGATGGGACTTTTTCAAGAAAAAAAAAAAAAAACTTGATACACAAACAAAATTAGTTCAAGAAAATTAATACATTTCAAAATGACTGTATTAATGACAATAGATTAGTAAGGTGGTTTACATTAAAGCTAGTGATAAAAGAAAACCTTTCAGCCAAACCACTTATGAATATCATAGGAGTAGTTTCTTTATTTG